AACAACAACAATAATAAATTATTATTAATTATTTAGTATTATTGACGATAATATTATAACTGAATAGCAGTGATTCAGGACTCCGAGTTTTATCACAGGTACTAGTATGCCCCAAATTGAGGTAATATATTAGCTCCTCACAATTTTTAATGTAGTTGCTTTCACAACACCTCTGTGAGACAGGGAAATGCTGCTGTCCCCTTGTTAGAGATGAGGAACTATCGAGAGCAATTATATAAAATATTTGCTGGTAAAGTTTGAGAATGCGCCAAAGATGATGATGAGGAAGAGGATGAAGATCATGATGATGATGACTGAAAGGTGGCCTACAAGAGCTTGGCTGTCATCACCAGGACTGCAACTTCCTTTCTTCCTCTCTCTCTTTTATGCTACAATCCCTCACTCCTGTATTTCTCTCTTTCTGCTCTCACAGCCCCTTTCCGGAGCAGTTCAGGACCAGGTTCCCATTGTGCAGGACTCCACACAAACACATGGGACCTGATGTGATGTCGATCCAAGCCATTAACAAAAATTCCCTTGGATTTTAATGGGATTTGTGTCAGAATGCTACACACATTGACACATATCTCCCCCTTCTCTCAGAATCCAAGTGCAAGAAATGAGATCACCCGGGAAGGAGTTTGTGTGTGTTATAAGGAGCAGGATATGCAAATGAGGGAGATAGTTTCCTGTTTAAATCTGTGCCTCTCTCTGCCTAGGCTGCACCCAGAGACACAATCTGCAGCCCCCTGTGTCCAGGCAGTTACCAGCAAATCCCCTGAGAACTTTCCCCTCCGACACCCGGGAAAATGAGATTTTAGCTCCATTTAGTGTTCCTTGCAGTGGCTTTGGAAGGCATTTTCTCCCCTCACACCCATTGGCGGGGAACAGGGGAAGGTAACTGTCTATTATTGCTCGGAATATTAATGTGATATATAATATCTTTCTAGTCCCAGGTGTCCAGTCCCAGGTCCAGCTGGTGGAGTCTGGAGGGGATGTGAAAAAGCCCAGAGACTCTCTCCACCTCTCCTGCAAAGCCTCCGGGTTCGACTTCAGCAGCTATGGGATGAACTGGGTTTGACAGGCTCCCGGGAAGGGACTGGAGTGGGTCTCACTCATTTACTCTGATGGGAGCAAACAATATTACGCAGACTCAGTGAAAGGCCGATTCACCATCTCCAGGGACAACTCCAACAACCGGCTGTATCTGCAAATGACCGGCCTGAAGCCCGAGGACACCGCCCGGTATCACTGTGCGAGACACACAGTGAGGGGAAGCCGGGCTGAGCTCAGACAAAAACCTGCCCTTGCTGGCTAAGGACAAACTCTCCGCTGGGGGCGCTGGAGTTCTACAGCTCGCAGCGGAAACAGTGAGTGAGAAAACTCCTGTCCGCAGCTACTGTCTGTGACTCTCACACACACTAATGCAGACATAGACTAACCGCACTGTTGGGGTTTTTTTGTTTGTTTGTTTTTTTTTTTTTTTTTTTTTTAGTAGTTGCTTTTCGAAAGGGATATTCTCAGACGATTACTGTCTTGTGAAGGCAGCAAATATAACTCCACTAACTCAATGTGATCAAAAGCACATTGATATCAGCCGAAAGACTCCCATTTCACTCACCTGATTTGAATCAAGCCCTTATTAACTGGAAATGGATCTAGGACTGTACAGTAAATATAGCGCTTTTGCCAACAGTATAATTAATCTCTACCGAACAGTAATAGGATTTCAGAGATGCTGTAATGGAACTAAGGGCCCAAATCCTACTGAATTTCGATAGCATTTAAGTGCCTAATTCCCTTGGGC